GCCTGCCTGGTTCTTACAACCCCCCAATTCCTACCTCATTCTGCACCCCTCAGCCCTACGTGCTCTAGCTAGCCAGGAGCCACTGTCTCTTAAACTTCTGCTAGGGCCACTCCTCTCCTCCACTTCACAAACCCAATGTTAGGACCCTTTGTTAGGGCCTCTTCCAAATGCCATCTCTTCCATGAGGCCTTCCTAGGTCCTTCTGGAAATAATGGTGATAGCAGCTCACGTGTTTCAGGGTTGACTACACTCTAGGCACAGTTAGCACTTTATGAGGTCAGTTCATTCCAGCTACTCGACAACTTACAGGGAATTTGGATTTGTACTATGCCCTCTCTTTCAAAATGGAGGGGGGCAAGGCTGGACAGTCAGAACAAAGTGGGGTGGGGATGGGTGCATGTACACACATATCACAGCACACTTGTGGCTATCGGAGGACAACTTGTGGGAGTTGGTTCTCTTCTTTAATGTGGATCCTGAGGATTTAACTCAGGTTGTCAGGCATAGTGGCAGATGCCTTTATCTGCTGAGCCATCTTGCCAGTCCTCTTGCCCTATTTTATAGCTGAGAAAACAGAGTCTCAAAGAGTTGAGTGAATCTTCCCAGATATCATCATTCCCTGAATTATGCAAGACACTGGATCTCTTTCTTTTCTTTTTTTTTTTTTTTTCCGGTCTTTTTGAGACAGGGTCCCCCTGCAGCCCCAACTGGCCTGGAACTCACTATGTACACCAGCACTGACCTGGAGCTCACAGAGATCTGCCTGCCTCTGCCTCCCGAGTGCTGGGATTAAAGGCGTGCACCACCACGCCTGGCTGGCACTGGAGTTCTTTAAACGTTCTTCCTTCCATTGCAATTAATGATATGAATTCTTATACCAGAAGGATATAGTGGGTCTTTAATTTTATTCATATTATTTTTTCTTTTTCTTTTTTTTTTTTTTGAGACAGAGTCTCACTCTGTAACCCAGGCTAGCCTGAAACATATGAGCAATCCTCCTGCCTCAGTCTCCCAAATTCTAGGATTACAGGCATGCATGAGTCACCATACCTAGTTTTATTTTATTTTATTTTTTTTGATTTATCAGCAGCTGACAAAATCAACTAGCTTGCTCCATTACCCAGGCTTCTTGAGAAGACTTGGGCCTCTGCCCCAGCCCTTCCCAGCTCCTGGTTCCCACTTTGCTGTGGTTCATGTCCTTTCTGCCTCCACACCTGGCCCACAGTGGGTGATCAGTACATAGTAGCCATCAAATAGACCTTTTAGTTTTTGTTAATACAGAGGATTAATTGAACCCAAAGCATTATACGTGCTAGGTAAGCACACTTGTGCTGAGCTAAGGTCCTACCCTTTTTATTATTTTTAATTTGAGACAGCCTTGATAAGTTGCTTGGGCTGGACTTGAACTCATTCTGTAACCCAGGAAAGTCTTGAACTTCCCATCTTCCTTCCTCATCCTCCTAGGTAGCTTGGATTATAGGCCTACATCATCTAGCCAAATATATCATAAGTAAATATGTGTGCCAGGCACTGTGCTTAGTGAAAAAGAATATACGTCTATCTGGAGTTATCCCTCCTCTCCCCAGTCCCTGTTCTTCCCAGGTATGACACTCAGGTGAATGTGAAGAGACTTGGTGTCACTCTTTTCTGATGGTGTTTATGTTGAGGCTCAGTAAGTCAGCACTGAGTTTAGCTGAATGCACCAGAGACCCAAGGAATAGTGGCTTAAAGAAGATACATCTCTCACATACACAAAGCACAAGTCTAGAGATAGTTATGCAAGGTCACTATGGTACTGAAGTTCCACGACGTCTTGAGCATCCTGCTCTGTCATTTCATAAGGAAAGCCTTTGTCCTCAGGGCCCAAGATGTGCTAGAATGCTGGCTCTCTCATCTGCAACCAGGTATCAGAATAGAGGAAGGGATGAAGAAGGAAGAGAACGACATAAATGGAGTCCTGAGAGCTGTCTCATGGAACTTCTGCTTCTATTTAAGTAATCAGAATTTAGCTGCCAAAAGCTGGAAGTGTAGGATTTGTTCTCGATGGCCACATAACTCCCTAAAACTGGGGGGGGGGGGTCTACAGCTGGGGCAGAAGAAAAGCCTAGACACTGGGGACAACTGGCAGTTTCCATAGAAAGGGATATGCATGTTGATGTGTGTGTGTGTGTCCATGTATGTAGTGTGAGCGTATATGAGTTACACGTGTTGTGAACACAACAGGTTCTTACCATCACTTTGATCTCAGATGGACCTATGACTACTTCTCTCTGCAGCCCTCCTTGTGTGCCCCCGGAAGCCTGGCCTCTCCTCTTAGGCACATGTACTCAGCAACAGCTTCTTGATTCCATGCTTTCAAAGCACTGCAATTTATTGCCAGTATCCACTGAGGCATATTATCTGTGGTGAGAGAGGGGGCTTGTAAACATGTTTGTCCATTCCAGTATTACAGGGTGGCTATTATGTGAAAATGGCTACGATATGACCAGAGTTAATATGGTAGTAAATTTGGTAAGGAATGAGGGTGTCATCAACATATAAAACTTAGAAATGGCCAGGCGTGGTGGTGCATGCCTTTAATGCCAGCACTTGGGAGGCAGAGGCAGGCAAATCTCTGTGAGTTCAAGGCCAGCTTGGTCTACATAGTGAATTCCAGGCCAGCTAAAGGGAGACCCTGTCTCAAAAAGACCAAAAAAAAAAAAAAAAACACACACACACAAAAAAACTTAGAAATGAATGCCATATTTGGATAGCCCATGGGAGGCAGTGAGCCAAGTGCTTGATTCAGAGTTGGCTGTAGGTAGTATAGCCCTGAGCTTTTCAAACTCTGCCCAGTAATTACAATAATTTTTAAGTAGCTGGCATTTACTCTCTCAACCCTGAGCCAGACACAAGCCAAAATAGGCAGGGACATCACAAATTCATCTCACTTACCTTTTGGAGCCAGGTGCTAATGTTAACTCCACTTTACTTGTAAACCAGATACTTTGGGAACTTACATATCTTACTTGAAGAGCCTACTGCTGAAGCTGGGGCCTAACCACTAAAACCTCCTTCTTTCACTCGGTTTCAGGGAATTCTATGGGGGACTATCATTTTAGTAACACCCTGATCTGTAGAGAATACATTCTAAGACTCCCAGTGAACATCTGGAATGGCTGAGAATACCAAGCCTTATGTATATTCATTTATGCCCTGGAGTGTGGAAACATAGAACCCAAATTCATCTCTACTTGCAGGTCTATGCCTTCTTTGCTCATACTTCTTGCTTTGGGGCCATTATTAAATTAAACAAGGGTTACATGAACACAGCACTGTGAATTTGTAGCAGTTGATCTGATACAGTGTGGGCACCCTGGTTGAGGGATGATTCACATCTCAGGGGGCAGATGTGCTGGACAAGACTTCATAACACTATTCAGAATGGCACAATTGAGAGCTTATGAATTATTCATTTCTAGAAGTTTCCATTTAATATTTTTGGAGCACAGATGACCACGGTTAACAAAAACCAAGGAAAGTGAAGCTGTAGATAAGGTGGGGGATGGGATGTTGTATTTAAATCTGTCCTTTGCACATTCCAGCTCTGCCACTTACTTATCTGACTTTGGGAAAGTTGACTTATTTTTCTAAGCCTTATTTTTTTTTCTTCTGTATATTCAGATTAAAAATAGTGTGCCTTTAAGCAAGCACAATAAATAATATATAAGCAGATCGCTTGTTTTTGTTGTATTGCCAGAAGGGGAATTATACTAAATTGCCACCTATGGATAGCAAATTTATTACCTCTTCCCATCAAGACCCAGATGAGGAAGAACACAAAAAGGAGAGGTTAGCTTTTTTTTGCCTTCTCCAGAATCTCCATCCTAATATTCATGAACATTTTATTATTTCAGGCTCATACACACATATTTGGCATGGATCACTGGCTACAGACTTGCATACATTTAACTTTATTACCTTTTTGCCTCATGCATCTCATCAAAACTTTGCTTCTTAATCAAATATCTGCATATTATTAATTTTAAAGCCCATGGTTCCATGCCTGAAAGTTCCAAGCATTCTAAGTGAACGCGCTGTGTTCTCTCCTGCCTCAATGCCTCTGTTCACCTGGCCTCTTGCCCACTTGTGGAATCTGCTTTCTACTCTTCCAACCCCTTCTCAGTCTTCAACACCAGCCCAGTTGACCTCCTCTCCTGTGATGTCTTATACTTGCCCCCTTGTGAACCTCCATCTTCCTGTTTGAAATGGCCTACGTGTTTATCCGTGTCTCCTTGTTACATTGTTGAGATGCTGGAGGGTAGGAAATATCTATGGTTTGTCCTTCCGTCTTTGGTGCCTAGCACTGCATCTGTCTGGTAGAGAAGTGCTGCTTGGATGCAGGTCCCTAGTAGGAGAGGAAAAGTTATAAATCAAGGATTATAGGCCATCACAGACACAGCAGCAGGCCACCGCTGTGAGAGCAACAGGGAGGACAAGGCAGCACCGGATCTCTAATAACAGAGTAGAGAGAGAATGCGCTTCACAACCCTTCCAGCTCTTTCACATACATTATCTACTTTGATCCTCATAAAAGCCTGAAGATCAGTAGATTATAGGGATGAAGGTAGAGTTTTGAGTGTTTATGTGATATACCTAAAATTAGGAGTAAGTAAATGACCTTAAGAGTTGGTTCTCTTTCCCTTGAATCATGCAATAAAGCCCTCATCACCATCACATTGTCCATCTGACAAGTACTACTCTGTGATCTACAAGACATCATTGTGGTTTTATCAGTCAGCCAACAATCTTCCCAAGGGGATGCAGTTCATTAATTTAGGTTCAATAACGAATTGTCTTTGACTATGAGGAGATGATAGCCAGGCAGAGAAGAAAGCAAAGCTCATCCATATCTTTTGATGTGGTTGGCAGCAGGGCAGATGGGTGGATTCTGATGCTGGCCTCTTGAATGTGTCATTCCTTCTGTTTACAGGCCCAAGAAGCATACCCCAGGCAAGAAAATGTACTGGAGACCCCTGTGCCAGTTCCTGTGGCTTTGGTCCTATCTGTTCCATGTTCAAGCTGTACCTATCCAGAAAGTCCAGGATGACACCAAAACCCTCATCAAGACCATTGTCACCAGGATTAACGACATTTCACACACAGTAGGGAGACTCTGCAGGGACAAAGGAGAATTATGGCCAGCCCAGCAGTGGTTTCTAGTGGGACTGGAACCAGATAGTCCAAGAAACATTTATTGAGCACCTTCTGAATGTGGGGCACCTACTGGAAGCTGAGGATTTGACAACATAGGACATTCAATCTTTCTAGGTTTTGCTCTTGGCCTATCTTCCTAATGGTATTCTGGGCTGGGTGGTGCCATTTCTAAATAGAGCACCTTAGATTGTCTGACTATGCCACCTGTATTGAGTGTTTCTAACTCTAAACCACTTTAAGAGCATTTAACTTGTCATATGCTTCCATTTTAAAAAAAAAAAAGGATTCTGTGATATTACAAGGCCACCTATATTGCTGGGTGGTGCCATTTCTAAATAGAGCACCTTAGATTGTCTGACTATGCCACCTGTATTGAGTGTTTCTAACTCTAAACCACTTTAAGAGCATTTAACTTGTCATATGCTTCCATTTTAAAAAAAAAAGGATTCTGTGATATTACAAGGCCACCTATATTCATTTTCACTGTCACAGGGAAACCCAGTCTTCAGTGGCTAGCTGAACATGTGAGACATACATAAGCCTGAGGGAGCCTTGGTTCTTCCCTGCTCCACAGACCACTGCCTCCTCTCCTCCTCATCCCTCTGCCTCTCTCACACTCCCTCCCTAACTCCACTTCTTTGAGCCCTAATGCCCAGGACCAGAGGAAGCCCTAACAGTCCTCGTATCCCAATGACAGGTGGCCAGACCCCCAGCAGTTATCTCCACTGGGCAGTCTCTACATGAGTGGATCATTAATTTTAGCTGCAGCTTTTCCTGTCCACTGCTCATCTTCCTTTCAAAATCAAATAGAAGGGCAAGCTTTCTCTCCTCCATAATCAGCCCTCTGTATATTTTCCAACAGCTGTCACTGCCTAGCTTGGTCTTTCTCTGGGGTCCAACAGGCTATACCTTTAGCCATTTCTCAGATGGAGCTAATATTATATGTATCATCCCACATCTGCTTTCCATCTGTCAGATTTTAAGCAAGTTTCTTGATGTCTTTAGGCCTTGTTTTTATCATCTTGATAAAGGTAATATCATATGGTGTCCACCAGGTTATTATGAGGCCTAAACTGGATACAGCAGGTATAGACACTCCCATGTAGAGCCATCTGGAGACTTACATATCTTCTGGCCAATGTGGATGTCTAGCAATGGCCTTGGGCAGCTGGGGAGCAGTTAGGTGGCCAGAATAAAGGGCAGCTTAAAACAGAGCTTTGTGCATTTCATAGAGAAAACCCTTGTCTTCTTTCAAAATAGTCACTCAGTGGGGCTGCATATGAGAGAACCACTACCCAACGTGGGTAGTGATGGGAGAGAGTGAGCTGCAGGCAATGGGGTGGGGAGATCCCCTCATGGTAACTAGATTTAGCAGTGCAAGGGAAGGAAGCATGATCTTGATCCCTAAGGAGAGGGAAAAGCACAAGAATAGGAGGGAGAAATCTGCTAAGTGTAGAAGGAGTAAACAAGGAATAGGGAGCCACAGAGGCCATTTAGAGAAAGGACTTACCCAAGACAATTAGTTGGAGTAGAGGGTAGAGTGACTTGGGGTGAACAGGAGTCTGGACGAATAGCTTAGGGGCTCAGCAGTCAGCTGAGCACAGGAAATAAGGGTCTGGACTAGGAGATGAGGAAGGGAAGGAGGCAATCCAGACTCACAGGGATGATGGAGGGCTTTAGAGACTTGTTTCTCTGGCCATTTACTAAGCACCCGATGTTCCTTTTCTTCCTGAACAGCAGTCAGTGTCTGCCAAGCAGAGAGTTACTGGTTTGGACTTCATTCCTGGGCTCCACCCCATCCTGAGTCTGTCCAAGATGGACCAGACACTGGCAATCTACCAACAGATCCTCACCAGTCTGCCTTCCCGAAATGTGATGCAAATATCTAACGACCTAGAGAACCTCCGGGACCTTCTCCACCTGCTGGCCTCCTCCAAGAGCTGCCCCCTGCCCCAGACCAGAGGCCCACAGAAGCCAGAGAGCTTGGATGGCGTTCTGGAAGCCTCTCTCTATTCCACAGAGGTGGTGGCCCTGAGTAGGCTGCAGGGCTCTCTGCAGGACATGCTGCGACAGCTGGACCTCAGCCCCAGCTGCTGAGGCCTCAAGCACCACCAGCCTCCCAAGTATCACATTGAGGGAAGAAACCTTGGCTTCCAGATGACTGCAGGAGAAGAGAGCCTCATGTGCATATCCCTCATCTGGGACTCTGTCCATATCTCTCACTCCTCTAAGCCACCCTTCAGAAAGCGAAGACCCCACAATGCTTGACCGAAGATAAACACAAGACTCTATGCACACTGGGAGAGGCCAGCCAGCAGAGAGCTGATCCTTACCCAGCTCTTCAGTGAGAATAGACAAGAGTCATCCTGTCCCCTCTCAGTGCCACCTCCCTCTCAATACATGCTTCACTGTGGTCTGGGGTAATTGAAGAAGGTGTGGGCAGAGCCTTTGGATTTGTCCCTGAGTCTCTGGGGAGCACCATGAAGGCTGCATCCTCACAGCTGGAAACTCCCAAGCAGCACAAGTTGGAAGCACTTATTTTTTTATTTATTCAGCATTTTACTTTGGATGGATTTGGAGCAAAGCATCGGTTTTTGGGGTCAGCCAGGGCTAGGGATGCTCCTGGGGTGCTGTTTTAAATAAATCCCATTGATGGGTCTGCCTGAAGCAAACCTATTTTGAGTGGAGGGTTAGGATTGTCCCAGCAAGAGCCAGCAGAGGTAGCTCTCAAGTTCATTCTCTAGTGACTGGTTTTGTTTCTATTGTGACTGACTTTATGCAAACACTTTTGCAGTGGCATTGCCCAGAGCATAAGCTAGGTTATTTTCAAAAGAAGATGAATTTTGTCAAGTGTAATATGTAGCTGTATGCACCTAGGGCTAGGGGATGTGATAGAGGGAGGGGGAAAGGACCCAGAATGTGTTCTCTGAATAATATTTGTGTGGTAGGTTTTTCAGAAGAGGTGAGGTAGTTTGCTCATCTTCTGCAACTACCTAATGTAGTTTCCATGAAAAGAACAAAGGAGTTGACTCTTTCAGGGAGGTTTGGAGTATAACAAGCATCCATGGAGGGGTATGAAACTACAGGCCGTTTGTTGGAGCTGTGCTGAGCTCAGGGAGGGAGGGCCCCACGTTCAAGACAGCCATCCCCAGGATAGGAGTCTCTGGTGTGGCATTCTGAGTAGCCTAGGGTTGATTCCACAATGAGTTTTCTAACCTGGCACTATCCCTGGTAGGTGTTTGCATGTCAAGTTATGACTCTCATCTTATTGGCTCATCAGAAGCAAGACCATATCTCCCACCCATTCTGTGGAGACTTTGATTCCAGTGGGAATTCAAAATCCTTTTGCAGATGGTCTCTAGCCCTGGGCCAGCACTGCTGAGGAAGCGCCAGGGCCCCAGGCCAGGCTTCCAGAATTGCCCTTCAGGCTGGAGGTCACATTCAGAAGGATGAACAAAAGGGCTTGGGTTTTTCCACCACCCCCGCACTCTTATACCACCATCACACTACGGGTGGTAGATTAGTTCAAGGAAACTTGAATGAAAGCAATACACTTTAAAGACTGAGCGCTGCTTTGTGCTCAGCCCCAACTGGTGCTATGGGCTGGAGAAGCTCACCAAATAAACATGAAAATCAAGGGCTTATATCCCTGTGTGGTAAAACCCCAGTCACAGGTATGCCAAGTGACCACCTCACCATGGCAGCACCGCACAGCTGAAGGTACAGAACTGTCTTCAGCGGGTGGGAAATAGCCTGAGCTGGGGGTGGTAGTGCCCAGGGTAACCCTGCTTGCACTCTATACCATTTGCATACTCTTCAGGGCACATTAGCATCAACTGTTGTCTTAATACATCCTGTTGATACAGGTTAACTGGGACCATACAAATAAGAAAATACAGATGGGATATTCTTATCCAAAATGCTTAGGACCAGAAGAGTCTGGGATTTCAGAATTTTTAGGTTTGAGTATATTTGAATATATATAATGAGATATCTTGGGGGATGGAACCCAAGTATAAACATGAAATTCATTTATATTTCATAATACCTTATATATAGAGCTTGAAGGTAATTTTATACAATGTTTTAAAATAATGTTGTGCATGAAACAAGATTTCATGGTGTGGAGTTTTCCATTCATGATATCAACTCAAAAAGCTTTAGATTTTGAGACATTTTGGATTTTGGATTTTCTGCTAAGAGATGCCTGTTCCTAAAACCATAATAGTAAATAGGTGGCAGGACCAGACTAGAAGCCAGATCCTCGGACCTCTAGGGTGTCCCTCCAGCCAGGTAATGCTCTTTGGAAGTGAATTGGAGCAGGGAGGACCAGTGCTAGCTGGGAGGCAGGAATTTGGATTGGATTTTAGATGAGGTGAGGGATGCAAGTTCCCTACAGGGAGGAATGTATTTTGTTGGAAACTTTGTACGTGGGGACACAGAGGTAAAAGTATTAACGGGAAGTGACAGCTGAAGACAGAAAAGGAAGAGATGGGGCAGAAAAGGACATGCTGAAGGGACCTGGAGGAGCACAAAAGTTGGATATTGAAAGAGTCCCAAATGCTACATTCTGGAGCAGAGGCTTCGTGGTGACCAGAGTCAGACTGCCCTGGGGTCCGTGATGGATCTCTTTGGCCACCTCATCAAGCTGAAGTATCTTGAGTCTTTTGCTCAGAAGACCAGGCACTAAGGCTTATTCCCAGACTGTGAAAGTTTCCACATGCAAAAATGCTTATCTTTTTTGGTAACAACAACAACAAAATGTTTGCCTTGTTTTGGGTTTTGTTTTTGTTTTTTTAGTTCAAATAAATTAACTTTGCAGCCCTGGTCTTTGCTTTCTGACTCCAGTTGCAGAGGGGCTTCGGGAGAGCAGTTTGTGTATGACAGGGCAAGGCCTGGCTGGCGTCCAGCCATCACCCGGGTCAGCTCCGCTGGGGCTTGACCATAGCCAGCCGCCAGTTATTCAGGCGAAAGGATTACCCTAAAGCCCAGGGCTGCCTGATGAGTACATTCTGCACTAGAGGCAGAGTTGTTCTGCAAACTAGCCTTGAGAAGCACCAGATTATTTAAAAATCAAAGACAAAAACATCAACAACAGAAACCTAAGCAAACAAACAACAACCACTCAGGTGGCAGGACCAGACCAAGCCAGGCACACAGAGCAGAAAAGATGAACTCGGCTTGCAGCAGCCACAGAGCAGTCATCCTTCAGCTCATGCAGGACCTGACCTGTTCAATCCTTGTCCAGAGGGACTTCAGGGCTGACTGGAAAAGACTGTCATTTCCATGGCAACTTTAAAGACCTCTTCCCTGCTGAAAAGGTCACTGGTGTTTCTGGGGATGAAATATTTTAGAACAACCCCACACAGTGTCTGGAATTAAGCAAACGGTCTCCACATCACAATTAACAACATGCTTGATTGTGGTCTGTTGGGGAGTACATAGGTGGCAGTCTGCCTACAGTAAACAGGTGACACTTCTCAGTCTCAGTCAGCTCCAGCTGATACAACAGAGTACCATGCACCAAGATATGAACCACAGACGTTAACTTGCCGTAATTCTGGAGGCTGGATATCTAAGATCGAGATCCAGCAGGGTCAGAGGGCCATCTCACAAACTGCCATCTTACAGTGGTATCCTCACACAGTAGAAATAGAGTCAGAGAGCTCTAAGGAGGTCCCTTTTATAACAATGCCAACCCCATTCATAGGGCTCTACTCTCATGACCTAATCGCTCTTTCAGACCCCATCTCCTAACGCTATTTGCTTGGGGGTTAGGATTTCAATAAATGAATTCGGAGAGCTACAACATTCAGTCCACTGTACTTGTATACTACCTTGAGGAAGGGGGATGGGACCCCCAAGCTTCTAGATGAATGAAGATCTTAGAAACGGGGCACAGATGTGACTACAGCAGCCTTGTTTGGTTCCTGGTAGTTCAGGAAAGTAGCTGCCAGTCAGGAATCTTTTAGCTGCTAATAATAGAAACCCAAGGTAAATCAACCTATTAAAAGAGAAACCATATTAGTCCATGGAGAGAAGAAATCCAGGCTCCAGTCTATCTCAACACCTTTCCTCCTACTTCTCTCCCATTAGGAAGCCCCTCTCCCTCCCGTGGGGTAACAAAAACATCTTCAGCATCTCCAGACTCATGGGATCTTTGATGCCCATATGGCAGGAAAAGAGCATCTTTTTCTCTTAGCGGTGCCAGTGAATGCTGTAAGGAAGCCTCTTATTGGTCAGGCCTGAGGCACTTGCTCTTTGTTGGACAGGGAAGTTCCATGTGAATAACATGGTCTGAGAATGGGAGCTGAGGTCGCATCTCGAAATACATAGAAAACCACACAAATGGATAAATAAAGCAAACTGGTTTAAAAAAAAAAAAAAAAAACATATACCAGACACAATATCTCACACTCCCTGGAGTTTGACAACCTGCATGACTTTGCAGGGGAAGTCCTTGAGCCCCACCTCTCACTCCTGAGAGTCCCTGCTACAAGCCCACTTTGTACCCTAGGACTCACACCTGGTAGACTGGGTTCAGCATCCAGATCTGGAGCCACTGCCCTACACAGACTCTCTCAGCCTCTGTGTCCTCATCTTGGAAGAAAAGGCCACTGGAGACTCTGAATGACATTCTCTGCCTGTAGGTTCCTGGAGGTGATATCTGAGGAAGAAAAGGAGTCTGCATGGCAGAATGTCAAATTGTAAGTGGCACTGCCCAAGGGTGCAGAGCTAAGTCCTTGTCACCAGAGCTTAGAAAGCTTCAGGTGTCCCCTGCCAATCTGAGGAAGATACAGAGACTTGGGGATGATGATCAGATTGTTGATAGCTGGCACAGGCTAGGGCCATCTTGTTTCTGAGCAGTTATGAGCTTGAAAACCCCTAGCAAGGGGGCTTAGGGAAATTGGCTACACTAAAAGGGGCCCTCAGAGAAGGTGGCTGGAAGTTCCATTCCACTCTCTGGGGTGGGACTGCTGGGGCCCAGATAGCAGGGAGTAGCCCTCACGTTCTCCATTCCAGATCCTTTTCCATCCTTGGGCATTTTCTGTGTCTCTCCCAATCCGGCAGCTTATATCTGCCAAACAGCTGGCAGA